GGTTTAGGGTTTAGGGTTGGTGTAGGAGTCACCCCAGTTTGCCATCCTGCGTAGGTCTGGGCCCTCAGCGCCGGGGGTTTCGTAAGACGGCCTGGGATCGCTGTGCCTGAATCTTGGAGAAGAATCCGATGACCCTCAACCCTAAACCCTAAACCCTATAAACCCTAAACCCTAAACCCTATAAACCCTAAACCCTATAAACCCTAAACCCTATAAACCCTAAGCCCTAAACCCTAAACCCTCTGATGAGACTTATCTCAGTTCGAAGAGGCATGAGGCATGAGGTTGTCGCCATGCAGGGAGCGCAGTACTGCCAGCGCAGAGTTGCTGACAAGAGCGACGTCTCTGTTTGGACTGGAGGCTTCGAAAGTCCTGAGCACCTGATGTGTGCTAAGCAGCAAGAAAGGCTTTCTTGGCCAAGCGCCGCAGCTAGGGACGTGGGTGGTGTGGCGGGCGGCTCCCGTGTTTAGGGTTCCAGGGTCTATGGGGTTTAGTTTTTTTTTTTATGTAGGCTTAAGGTTTAGAGCTGAACCCCTCGGCGTGGTGTACTCTGGGGCGTGGTTACGGTCGGTGTCTACTATACACATGGGGAGGGCTTGACAGGTTTCACGAGATTTGCATGCGTTTTACATAAAGGTTGAAGGTGCGTTAAGGAATTACAGGTGGGATATATAGCGGCGAAGATCCCTTCTATACCACGGTAACTTGACACACGCCCCTTCGTAAGAAGCTTCGAGGTGTTGGGGTCGAGAGATGCGGTGATTTCGGGATACGGGTCCTTGTCGTTTCAATGAAGCACATCACGCTGTGCCGATCCATAGCAAGAGCTTAATGCGAGACTGGAGCCTGCTCATTGGGCAAGGGCTAAGCTGAGTGTCATAGGGCTACACTCGAACATCGCAGACTCTTAGGACGTCCGCCTCACACGACTTTCAGAATTTAAACCCTAAGCCCTAAACCTGAAGTTCATGGTGCAGGCACTACACACCGAGCCTCCGAGCCTCAGGCCTTCATTCAAAGACTACGCCACCAAGCTTTGAAGTCCAACTTCTAAAAACTAATGTAGTGTTTTTAGGGCTTATTTAAGGCTTTAATGTAGTGTAGTGTTTTTAGGGTTTATTCAAGGTTTAATGTAGGGTTTAGGGTTCAGGGTCTAATGTAGGGGCCTATAGAATTACCTATACTATTTTGGGGTTCCTGATTATAATTATAGTATAATCTACCCGCAAACCCCTATTCTAATTATTCGGGACCCCATGTTACACGCTAGGCCCCGAATGTTTAGGGGACGGGGGGGATGAAGTCTTTTGGGGCCTCGGCTGCTGGGAAATGGAGGTGCAGGCTTGGGTTTCGGATTTCCGGGGCCCTCGCTAGGAATTTGAATTCAGTTCCCTTACAACTTGGGATACCCTAAACCCTAAACCCTAAACCCTGGACCCTAAACCCTAAACCCTAAACCCTAATATATCGTAAATAGAGCATGCTCTCTCATTGTGGGCAGTTGTGTATGGTAGCTTGAACGTAGCAAGAACCGAGTGTAGGGTTTCGGGTTTAAGGTTCCCCTCGGCCAGGTTTAGGGTTTAGGGTTTAGGGTTTAGGGTTTAGGGTTTAGGGTTTACAGGTCATCGACAGACACGACCTCCTGCAGAAGATCAGCAAGCAACAGGAGCGCTAGCTTTGAATCCGGAAGAAGGAATCATTCTCATTTGGGGGTTTCTGAAAATAGGGGACCCCAATATAGTACCCTAAATAGTAGGATCCCTATTATAAGGACCCCAAAATAAGGTACCCCTTGTTTTCGGAAACTCCCATTTCTGGGGAGCTAGGTCCAGAATGCCGGGCACATATCCCGAAACCCAAACCCCCAAACCCTAAAATCCCTAAACTTCAGCCCTAAATCCTAAACCCTCAACCCCGAAGCCCTAAAGAGGCGCCCCATGAAATGGATTTTCCTCGGATTGATGTGGCGAGCTGCGACCCTCCACCCTAAGCTTGAAACTCTATCTACATCTTCAACCATCAACCCTCAAGTGCAACACCCAAGCCGGAAACCCTAACCCCTAAACCCTAACCCCCAAACTCAAAACCCCAAACCCCAAGCCTAACCCCTAAGCCCGAAACCCGAAACCCTGAAACCTTAAAGCCTGAAGCACCGAGTTCAGGAGCCCCTAAACCCTAAATCCTGAACCCTAAACCCTAAACCCTAAAGCCTTCTTTCAGGAGCAGCTAGATCGCCTCGAGAACCTGGCTCGCGAGAACGCAAAGCTGAAGGCTTTCCCGGGTTTAGGGTTTAGGGTTTAGGGTTTAGGGCTTTGGGTTTAGGGTTTAGGGTTTAGGGTTTAGGGCTTGGGGGCATTGGGTGTAATATAGGGGGCCTTAATAGTTACCTATACTGTTTTGGGGGCTCCCATGGTTATAGTCATACACCAAAACCCTATTCTAATTATTGAGGCCCCTGTACTCCCCTAATACGAGAAGCTGCCCACAAAAGGTTGAGTGTTTAGGGTTTGGGGTTTAGGTCTTCGAAACCAGGGTTATAGTTGACCGTGCAGACTTTGAGGTTTGACGGTCTAGGGTTAGGGTTCAGGGTTTAGGGTTTAGGGCTTAGGTTTAGGGTTTAGGGTTTAGGGTTTAGGGCTTAGGTCCAGGGCGTGGGGGTATATCTGAATGCAGGGTGGCCGATGAGCTGGTTTGGGTCCATGGGTTTTTCGGACATCGGTGCGAAGAGTCATGGTTCGAGCGGTGGTGATGAGCATGAGGAGGGCTGTACTGTAAGGTTGAGCCATCAATCATAGAAGAGGCGATGAACCCAGGACCCTATGCTGATTGTTAACTCTCGGTGCCTTGTGACGGAGAAGAGCCTCAGTCAAACACGTCAGAACTCCAGAGAACCGTGAGAGACCGTTGTCAAGCCCTCGACGACCGGTCTAAAGAGAGGTCTGACTCCGGACAAGACCCTTAAAGGGAGTTGATCAAAGCTTTGGCAGAAGGCTTCAAAACGTGAGGTTTTAGGGGTTGTAGTTTCGTCAAACTCACCCCTTCAAGACCAGCTCCTGTCTGTCTCTCTCTCTCTCTCTCCCCTTCCCTCTCTCGCCTCCCCGGATTTCCCAACCCCCTTGAGACTTCTGAGCGTACTGCGCAGCTCGAGGCCGTAAAACTTAACTGCCGCCTTAAATTGGCGCCGGACTCCCATAAAGACGCCGGACTCCTATAAAGACGTCTCTAAACTCGAAACCCGGATCCAACAACCCCAATCCCGAAGAGCATAAACCGGAAACCCCAAGCTTCACCGTAAAGATTTCCCAAGCACAGCCGGAAGCCCCAAAACCCCTCAGTCAGTACCCTTGTCGGACCCTTTTAAGCAACCTTACTATAGGGGCCTTAATACTTGCCTATACTATTCTGGGGGCTCTTTGTTATAATCATACTAAAATTTATAATATATACACCAAACCCTATTCTAAGTATTACCCTTAGCATCAAAATAGCCCAAAAGCCTTAAACAAGTGGAGTCTTTGGGCCCAAAACCTCAAAATATGTGCCCTTTGAGGGCAAGGGTTAAGCCCCTAAACCCTACACCCTACACCATATGAGGCAGGCTCGCTCAGACGAAAAGGCCACTACACTTCACAAAAAAGACCCTACACCCTAAACCCTAAACCCTAAACCCTAAACATTAAACCCTAAACCCTAAACCCTAAACCCAAAACCCTAAACCCTAAACCCTACACCCTAAGCCCAACTTGCCGGCCCAGAAGGCGCAAGTCGCCAAGGGTCCCGCCCGGCGCGGGGCACCGGCCAACACGACGGGAGGTGCTTCTGGCATGAAAAGCCTTAATGAATAGTTCTCTAAACTGGTTTAGGGTTTAGGGTTTAGGGTTTAGGTTTGGTCTTTTTTGGGGGTCCTTATTATAAGGGTGCCGTACTATATTGGGGACCTAGAAAGGGACCCTAATTTAGAGAACTACCCTTATGATTAGAATAAGGTTTTGGGGCCCATTATGCTATAATTATAATAAGGCACCACCGCAATAATGGAGGTAATTATTTGGGCCCCTACATTAGAGCCTTAATGATTAGAAAAGGATGGCGTCTATTTTACAGGGCTACGATAAGGGTTCTAGGGTTTTGGTATAGGAGCTTCTTGCTTAGACAAGGGTTTGGGGGTACGATGTACGATACTTATGATAACCCTAAGCCCTAAACCCGAAACCCTAAACCCGAAGCCCTGAACCCAAACCCCTAACCCCAGGGGAATTCGAATCTTCCTCGATAGTTAGAACGGGATTCGTCGGGGTAGATCCTGCCATCACTACCCCCTTGTCTTTCAAGGGTGAGGTGTGGAAATATTTCAGGAGAGACTAGATTCACATAGTTCAGGTGAACGTGTTCAGAGGTACATGTCCACGTTGAAGTGGCAGTCTATCTCAAATCCTAAACCAGAGACCCCAAGCCCCAAACCCTAAACCCCTAAACCCTAAACCCTAAACCCTAAACCCTAAACCCTAAACCCCTAAACCATCTCAAGTATCCTTTGCCAGAGAGCTGGCTCCAATGGTGTTCCGAAGATCAGTTTTTCACTCGGCCCCACCGTTCAGCTTGAGCGCTGTGGCCCTTTACGGTTTAGGGTTTAGGGTTTAGGAATTAGGGTTTAGGGTTTAGGGTTTAGGAATTAGGGTTTAGGGTTTAGGGTTTAGGGTTTAGGGTCTAGGGGCCTTAAGACTAGAATAGGGTCCCTTTAAAGGCTTCCTAAGAATAGGGTCACCTTAAAGGCTTCCTAAGAATAGGGTCCCTTTAAAGGCTTCCTAGGCCCTTAGTTGCCTAGAGGCCTAGAGGCTCTGCAACTTGTCGGCTTTGGGGTTTAGGGTTTAGGGTTTAGGGTTTAGGGTCTAGGGGCCTTAAGACTTAGAACAGGGTTCCTTTGAAGGCTCCCTACACCCTTAGTTGCCTAAGAGGCCTAGAG